TCCACCCAGGTGTATAAATGGGTACCGGCGAACTTAATGCTGGGGGTAACCCTGCAATGGATTAGCATCCCATCCAGGGAGAGTAGAAATACTCCTAGTTGCTTCATGCTACAGAAACCAGGATAAGCTCCAGCTTGATGGGCCACTCGGGCTTGTATCCAGACTTTAGCTACCTACCTCACCTAAGTAGACTAAATAAGATCATTTTCTTCAATTTTTGAAAGATCTTGTGAGCATTTTCTTAAGATGTCTGATAATTTATGAATCAAAATAGTCATTTGTGAACATTGTCTATTAAAGGTCCTTAGAACATTTTTGACGTTAATTCCGAAGTCTGGTAACAATGTCTTAGGGAGATCTCAAGATGTTGTCATTTACTCCATTCTAGCTGCTCACTATATCCAGGCGAAGAAGAAGGAAATATCTGATGCATACCTTAAGTTATTGTTAGACATTTTTGTATGGGTCAATATATTTTATACATAACTTTTCTCAGTAAAATGAAACTTAATGAAACACTGCTAACAGTTTATAACATAAAGTTCCATTCAAAACTGTTTGTATTTTCCTGTTCTTTGACAGAATTGATTGGAAATGCTTTGAGTAAGTCATTTGGTAAAGGAGGGAAGTCACCAAGCCTCTCTGAGGTACATGTATATTTTCACTTTTCAAAGGCACTTATTATTAAATATTTTTAATTAGATTTTTATCTCTTTTATATCTTTGTTTACTTAAGTGCAGTGACCTCTTGTGATGTTAAAGACAAGATTGCATAAGACAACAGGCAATGTGAAACTCTAGGCACATAAATTTTTTCAAGCATTTAGACAAAGTTATAACAAGTATTGTGGTCAGAAGGTGGTAAACTCAATGCCTGCCAAAGCAATTACTAGATAAATAAATTGAGTTATAAATTACTACGGTCAAACTCAAAAAAACAGTAAAAGATGTCTGGAATGTTTATTGTGGTTGTAAGGCCCATTGCATCCGAGATTGGTTTGTGAAAATAGTTTTTTCACTAAATAAACATTACCCAAAACCCTCTTCGCTAGTGTTTATTAATGAGCTGTAAAGAGCAATTATCTAATTTTTGTATAACCAATATGTAGGATTTATTTTGAGACCTTGTGGAACAAAACAAATCTGTTCTGTGACTGATGGAAACTCAGTTGTTTTCTGTGGTTTCTGTTGTTGAAGATCTTGCTTGTGATTGTTATAACACAATAACTATTCCAGACCTATTTTAGGTATTTATGGTTTTGTGAGTTTGACTGTAAACTAAATCCTAGAGAAAAACTAGTCAGGAGACTGAAAAGAAACCACAATCTTAAAGCAAGATGCCATTCAGCCTCCCCATAACGAACTACCCACACTAAGATGAATATACAGAAAAATAAGGACAACCCTATGAGGTACATAATTTGTATTAATTATGCAAATTTCCAGGAATTTCTGCTCTATTTGATTTTCCTCCCAAAATTGCTGGAATTTGTGGTTGTCTGAACGGTTTGCATTCCAGAAAATATACATGTATAATATAACATGTATAATATACAATGATATGTAACAGTTTTCAGATTTTCCGGAAATTTTTTAAAGGAAATTTCTGTACCATTTACCTTTGTTTTGAAAGTTCCAGAAATATTACTTCTGTTTACAATAAATGGAAAGCACCCCTGTATATTATTTTGTACATAATTATATATATGCATTAATTAAAGATGTTCAAGTTATACTTTTTAAGATTGCTTTTTTCTTTCACACTTAGGTGGTTGATTATGAAGTTCCCATGATAGTGTTAGCGTCATTTTCTCTGCTTGCTGCACTGGTTATTCCCATTGTTGGCCTTGTGTTCTGTTGCTGCCGTTGTAAAGGAAAGTGTGGTGCTTCTATTGATGATAGCAAACTCAAGCAGCATCCTACTAAAGAACGGATAGCTTACTCTGCAGGAATCCTTGTTTGTGCACTGTTTATTATGTAATTGCTCTTTAGTTTGTTTTTATTGTAAAATATTTTTGTTTAAGCTCGCATTCTGTGGACTGCCCAATTTCCACTCCAATTGGAAGTCTACATTTAAGTAAAGTTCTACAATAACATAATTATGCTTGAGTGAGTCTGTGTTTTGCCACTCAATCAAGTTCTTAATATGCAAGTTCAGTTTGACACGGTGATTAATTATTGATACTGTATGTCTGATATTGGTATAGGTAATCATATGGTTTCGAGTTCAATTTGGAATTAATTTGTACTACTGAGTTTTTCAAAAAGCTGAAATTACACGAGCCGCTTCAGCGAGTGCAATTTCAACTTTTTTAAAAACTCACAAGTGCTAATTAATTCCAAATTAAAAGAGAAAAACCGTATGATTACTTATTAATAATATTAACATGAAGACATTTGCGTGGAGGAAATGCCAGAAGATCTTTTTTGAAGCCATTTTTTCTCATTCAAGAAAACTTTTTTCAAAGTTTCCACACTAAATTTTTACCATCATTTTGCTTGATATCATTGGCTTAGAAAATTTCCTATTTTCTTTTAGCTAATCATAATCTAGGATATCGTTGTGTAATTTGCACTGGTGTTACACGTTTTGCACTGGTGTTACACTTTCTGCCCTGGTGTTACACTTGAACTGCACTGCTCTCAGCCAATCAGAATCGAGTAATTTTTTCTGTGTATATTATTTAATTAATATATTTATCCAACTTTGTTTTAGATTACGAAATAAATATATAAGACATAGAAAAATATTTTTCATAATGATTTTTATTTTAAACTTCAAGTATTATGGCACAAAAATAGATGATTTTCACTCTACAAAATTGCATCATGCTGCAAATTGTAACTTGATGTGGTTTTGCGTGAAGTATGATTTGTTCTTGCTGATGTTAATTGACTGTTAGTGTAACTCTCATTTAGTCTTGCAGGTATATTCATCTTAGCTTCAAGTGTTAGAATGAACAAGAGTGTTCCACATGCAAGAACTGTTTGGTCAGACTCATTTGCTGATATTTATACTTATACTGACAATACACTCAAGGTAATGGGTTATGTGTATGTTTACTGTAGATTAGAAAAATATATCTAGATAATGTTGTCATCCAGACATTTTTGTTATTAATGAGACTTAAGGCATTATATATATATGTACACTTGTATTTTGTTTTTAGTCTTAGAATGTCAAGGATCATTTCTGCACCTCTACCTTAAATTAGGCTTCTCTTTTACCATCTCTTTGCATTGTACAGTGGAATGTTTTCTTTTTAAATCTTGTATTGATATGCTGACATGTAATTTGTGTAAGTACTAAGTAAAAAAATTAAAAATATAATTATTGCAAAAAAAAACCTTTTATTAACGTAATTGATAACCTTGATTAGAAATTTTTTTTATCAATCAAGTAATAGCTTTCAGTATCCTACTTTCGACATATTAAAAATCAACTTGATAGTGAGGCCTAGAGACACAAATGAGAGAAAGGAACAAACATTCAAGACATTCAATTTCCTTTGTTTTGTGTCCTGTAGGCCTGACTCACCACCAAGCAAAATTTTGAAATATTGAAAGCAGTCTATTCAAATGGTTAAAAGCCACTGACAGTTAGAAGTACAGTGTAATAGACTCAAGTGCAATGTTTCTTGCATGTTGTTTAAATTCCAGGAACTAAATCATATTGTATCTAAAGAGGCTGTTCCTACAGTTGATGTTTTGCTGGAGGATGTCATTGGTGAGTGTACAGGCTGACAACACCATTATATAGGCATTAATCAACATATGCTATGGCGCTGTTTTATGTTCCTGGTGTTCTTGCAGTTTCTTTATAGAGGATACTACGTGGCTGCTTCGAGATACGAAATTTATTAACAATAATTATTCCACGAGTGCACATTGGATATGAGATGGTAGATAGCCAACAAGGCACATAGCACTGGGTTGGCTATAATCATCTCATATCCAACAAGCATGAGTGGAATAATTGTGTTATTAAAAACGCCCCCAAAATATAGAAAACTTAACAAAAATAAAAGTAACATGGCCCCAAAAATTCATGCGTCTGCTTACCATATTTGTAGAGCATGATATAAATAAACAGTAGCCTCCATTTGGTGCGAAAATATGTCCACGGACATTATCTGTTCCGAGAAGTGAACAGTTTTCCTTGAGCTATGCTCTCTGAAAACTGTGAGCTTCGAGGGAACAGATATATACATTTAATGTCCGCAGACAAATATCAGAGCATATTTTTGTGCCAGATGGAGGCTATTATGTTTCTTACAATCCTTCAAATCTTTTTCAGAACATGCACAGTTTTGACGATTGGGAAATATTCTTGGATATTCCCCACTGGGGAATATTTGGCCGCGTGACGTGTTTAGACCAATTGCGTGCAAGCGAAAATATTTTTCAAGAAATGCAAAAGGGAGGCAGTACTTTGATAGCAAATAGATGGGCTTATATCCAGTGGGGCTTATAACCGGGGGGCTTTAACATGGGATTTTACTGTATGCCACAAACAGAGAAAAGTAGTCTGGCACATAATCATTATGAAACAATGAATTTAAATGCTTTAGTCATATTGTTGAGAACCTCCAGTGACAACAACACAGTGTTCACAGTTTATATGATCTTCCATGGGACAATGGCAAACTACATGAATTATATACTTTTTGTACCTTTTGGCATTGTTCATGTATGCATGTTTTAAGGCCCACCTTTCTAGAAACATCTAAATATAGTACACATGAATACATGTACATGGTTCATGACAGAGGAGTTGACCCACTAGAGAATTTAACTATTCATTATATGTCGGAAGTTTTCACTCAGCTTGCTTCTCTTTTGGCATCAAATTTCTTTAATTTGTTGTAATGTGGAATAGGGAATATTAAATAAAAATTAGATAACTAAAGCATTGACAAGGTTAAAAATAGCAAATGAATTTGATTAACATGATAATAGTTTTGAGTTTCCTTTAACAGCAATGGGCAGAGATGTAGTTATTCCTGTTCTTGAAAAAGGAGCACCTATATTTGGAAGACTTTATGACAATGTGAAGGACCTTGACAATGGTACATTGTTAATTCGTAATATATACAGTGTAATAAATTATACAGTAACTTCACACTGTGACCTCCCTTTGGCTTAATTATTTACTGGCATAAATTCTTTTTTTAATAGCCGTGTTATAAGCTCAAAATAGACCTGTGGGTAGATTTTTCTTGTTTATTTTACTTTGGTTTAATAAATATTTCTTTCTTTCTTTCTTTACGCTTTTTTTTTTTTTTTTTTAACAAAACCAGTTTTTTTGTGTTTACCATACAAAGCTGAAATATCTTTGTGTATTTACTTGATTTCAAGAAATAAAAATTTTAAAATAATAGATCAGGATCAATCTGAGTCTGTTGTAATGGTCATGATCCTGTACACATTTCTATATAGCTCTTTTTTTTTTAAAGTAATATCAAAGTCATCCTCAATGGTGATAATCTAATGGTCACTTTAAGGCACTTTATCGTTCTGTTGTATTGATTATAACCATTCTGTATTGGTTGCCTCTTTTTATACTTTATGACAAAAAGTTCTTAGTTGGCATGGTTGAGCTGAGTCAGCTAATAGATTTACCAATTAGCAGCACATGTTCAGGCTGCATGGCCATTTTCAGTTGAATAGAACTGCACAAATTTCAAAGCAATCCTATGAACCTAAGTACATGTAATAAACTGATCATGACTAATTATAATAGAAGGGAAAAATGAGCTTATCCAACTGAAACAATGGAAAAGAGTTGATCCCAAAAGAAGGTCTCAACAGAACACAGCCAAGATATATCAACAGTATATCTCAGCTCACAGTATATCTCAGCTGACGAATGTGTTTCATTAGGCCATAGTGATTGGATAAAACGTGACTTTCTTATGGTGCATTTAAATGGGTAGTTTTCTGGATTGACTTACTAACTTACAAGCTACCTTTTTATTTGCTATAAGGGTTGCCAAAAGTACTTCTTGTAAAAATATATGGGGATCATAATTTTTGATATATTTTATTTATCCTCAGCACTCAGCCAGTCTGTGTACCTTTTTGTTGAAATACAAAGCACAGTATCATCACTGAAGTCAACAAGTAACAACATTCAACTTGAACTAACAGCAGCACAGAAAAATTTAACAGATGCTCAAGACAAGTGTAATAAAGATGGAGGGGGAAACACATGTAATGAAATTCCTATTGGTAATGAGCTGACAACTGAAGCAAACTTCACCAAGGTATCTAATATTAGGTTACATTTTTTGTTGTTGATAATGAGTAAGTCAGAAAAAAACACTTTTGAGTGTGGTATCACTGTACCGTTTGGATGTGATATTTGCAATGATGTTTACTCATTCTCCAGGCTTGCCAAAATACTGTACCTCCAATTTTTGAAATATACAGCAATACTTTGTGAACACTGAAGCAAGATGATATTATTTAGTCTTTCCTTAACAGGCAATTTAAGGGTCTTTTCGGCTACAGCTACATGTATGTTTCATTTCCTCCTTAATTATTAGGTCCCTAATATTACTGACAACCAAAGGAAAGTAGAGGATGTTTTGAAGACAAATTTATCAGATGAAGTTGTAAAGGTTAGTTTTCTCTTATATTGGACATAAATAGTGTATTACTAAGCTAGTATTAAAGGGGGTACGTACAAGATTTCATGGAGTTCACAGTTGTGATTTTATTTTGGTAAAGTCATCTCTGAGTAGACCCTGATTTTTCTCACAAGTTGACATGATGGTGCATTACTTCCTTTGCAATGATATTGGCAATGATACAAAATGAATCAATTCACATCTTTAGCTGTGCATCATCAGGTTATGGTGCACTTGGGAAGTTTGTGAGAGCCTTCAAGAAACAAAAGAGTTGCCTTGCCTGCACTTCAAGACACCAGGCAACTGTTATGCTTCTTTTGTGCTCCCCAAACTTTCTGGTCCATACATGTATCATAACTCAATGATAAATTGCACCCTAAAGTATGAATCAATATTGTTTAGCAGTAAATGTACACTCTGTCATTGGTTGCTTTGGCTGTGTCAGGAATGGCAGATGGAAGGGGAAGAGGGGGGAGGGGGCTTTAGATGGATGGGGAAAGATATTGAATTTCTTGTGTGAAAAACATGATGCTCATTAGAGAGAGTCGGGGAGTTACTAGCTTAAATTATTGCAGGATCTAAATCTTTCAATATTTACAACTGTTACAATTTATGTGGTGTAATATAAAGTCTTGAAATCCTCAGTATTAGTAAGAGTATTCCTTATTAGCTATTATTATTATTATTATTATTTGTGAACATTGTACATTTCAGGGTAATGATTCAGTTCACAACATTCCTGAGAAAGTTCAGAACTTGACAACAAATTTAACTAATGGTATGGATTGAATTTTCACATTATTGTTGGTAACTGATTTCACACATTACACATCAAGTGTCCTTAATTAGTAAAGGGATGTTTCCCGTTGGTAAGCTGTAAGACCGACATGATGATGATGATGATGATGATGATGATGCATCTGTGTACAAATTCCTCTTGGTTGTTGTTGCTGTATTAAGTTATTGATTTACCAACAGGCTATTACAAAGTCATCAAATGCCTATTTTGACATTCTGGGTACATGTACAACCAAAGTTAATTGGAGTCGCTCAGGTGGTTGAGTTTGAGTTACTTATGACTTGTGACTTGTGCCTCATTCGATATTGCCATAGTGTTTAAAGTGAATTCCGCTTATTATGCTCTAGTGCACATTACGTAGTGTCTGGCCTTCACTAGTTTGAGCATCAGACTCTGTCTAGCTGTAAAAATTACTGTGCAAGGTTCAAAGTCGCATTTCCTAGTTTGTGTTACCTTGACTGCTCACATTGTCAGTAAATTTGTATTTCTAATCAATAATTTGTATAATTGTCAACATGGTGCATCCTCATGTTTTGAAACATTTGGCACAGGGACCAAAGACTCGCAAGAAGAATCTTTCTGTTCCAACTACCGAGGTCCTTTGCCTTATAGTCTACAGGCTCTGAACCTGTCCATGGCTTGTTCATGTGCCAAGTGATACAGAGCTCTTGATTTTGATTTTTGTTGGTCACCTCTTCACTCCACTTTTTTGTCTACAGAGTTTCAGAATTTCACAGATAAAATAAACAATGTGCAAGGAGATGTACTAAAGCCTCTGGAAGATGACATCAATAAGGTAATTAATAATTATCCCTAATAAGGTGTGGTTATTAAATAATTAGCATCAGTAGGTTAAATAAAAACGATTGTTCATAATTTTTGATTTACGGTTTTATCTGCAGTAATCAATCTAATCACTGATTAGACTGAATTCTTGAATTATTGATAACCAACAATTTAATTATGGGGTGGGTGGGTGGATAGACGGATGGGTGCGTAGGGTAACATGAGTGGACAGACGGTATCAACCATAGCTTTCTTTACTTGGTGATGTCCATTCTCAGCCCCGGCTTAAATTGCAAAGTGTATTTTTTCTTTAGGAAAATACATTACATAAATTAGTGCATTAGAAAGTGTAATATTGACATCATTTTTCTTGCATTTAATAAAAGTACCTGGTGCACCAAAGAGGCCCATACTGCCAGAGTTTACTTAGCTTCAGGGTGGAAGATAAGAAAATAGTCTCCTGGCTAAGATTTTCATCGAGCCAGTCACCAGTTTTTGTGAGAGACCAGGAACAAAATTTTCGTCCCCAATCTTTCGCCACGCCTTGAATGCAGGGCTACCAAGCCTCATGTTTACTAGATGGCGGACATGGTACATGGAAAGAGAACACACTAAACAAGTTCTTAAAACAAGATTTTATTTCAATTACTTTACTCGTTATACAATGTAGTGGCACCGATACTCAAGGTAGTCAGGAATTTATTCGAAACTTTTCATTCAGACAGTTCAATATGGTTCCGATATCGAATGATTGCAAGTGCATTACAACCTAAACACCATTCGCTGTCCTTTACCAAGTGATTACCTGCCATAATCCAGCGGGCGATCACCTTGTTTTTTAGCTGGCAAATTTTGCCGGCAGCGGGCGCTTAGCGACAACATTGAGTAATGCTACTCTCCCCAGCTTATCCCCAGCAGGAGTTGCTCAAACCATTGTTAGATGAATGACATGTTGATGAATGACATGCCTCATGTTTTTCTCAATAGTACATTCAGGATGAACTTAATCCAATCAGAGATGACGTGCACGAGAAGTATCTTGGTCCTGATGGAATGTTGACCAAATATGATAATTACAGGTATGTGTTGGCTGTAGTTGCTGGAGCAGGCCTTGTAAAAATTATCTGATGGTATGTTTTTCACATGCATTAGATTCTTTTGCACAGGTACCATGTACTGTATGATAAAAAAAAATTTTAAGTTGTAACTTTGCTGACCTTTTTACCCTCTAGGATAATTGTCTTGCCTACGGTTCTCACTCTCTCTTTCATCTCAGGAGTGAAAAGACATGGCTATATTTTTGGCATAGTGTTAATGAAGACGCATAATTGAAACAAGATCTAGAACATACGTGTATACATCAGTGTTTGTTTATCCTATCCCCCTTGCACAAAAATTTGGCACTCAATGTGAAAACCATCAGATTATAACAGTTGAAATTAAGATGATGGGAAGCCTGGGATTGAACTACCTAGATACAAACATCCACTTTTACATAAACATGCAATTTTACATAAAATTTATAAGAAATTTGTGACAAACTGTTTATGTGGTAAAGTTCAACCCAATATTATTTGCTGTTTCCTTATTTTTCTCCAGGCATGTGATTTTCATTTTAATAGGAGTGCTGTGTTTAGTGGATGGCCTGTTGTTAGTACTTGCTGTGATGTTAGGATTGTGTGGCTCAATGAGGTATGACACACCCAACACCAGAAGTAACATTGCAGACTTGGGTGGAAGGCTTATGATTGGGTAATTGTTTTATGTTTCATTTCAAGTTACTCTATGGTGCGATGTTGAATATAGGATATGTGCATTATTTTGGATGTGTGCTTTGAACATATTCAACTTTCTTGTAGCAATATCTATCAGGCCTTATCATCTTTGAGGAACTTGATATACTCATATTGCATCAACTATATACGTTAATGTAAAAAGCCCTGGCCGGGGGACACTGTGTTGTGTTCTTGGGCAAGACACTTAACTCTCACAGTGCCTCTCTCCACCCAGGAGTATAAATGGGTACCGGCAAATTGTTGGGGAAACCTAATAAATTGCTGGGGGAGTGACCTGCAATGGACTAGCATCCCATCCAGGGGGAGTAGAAATACTTCTAGCCACTTCATGCTATAGAAACCGGGATAAGCTCCGGCATCTATGAGCCGTTCAGCTGCAGGGCTTCACTTTTCTTGGGTGATATGCCTTGGATCATAAAAGCCATACATTCTGTACATTCAATCAGTTTCTATTTATTTGTTTCGTTTTTAGAGCTGCTGGTCTGTTCTTCTTTTCTGCATTTCTCATCAATTTTCTGGCTGGAATTGTTTTCCTTTTGGGAACAAATGTTGCAATACTTTGTGATGGCTTGCCAGATTATAAACTGCTTCAAAAGGTAAGTTCAATAGATAATTTATTTTGCACAATGGTCAATGATTATAGTACTAACTGTATCGGAATAATTATTTAAATTACTTGTTAATTGACGTTCTTGTTATGGCACAGCTGATAATCATCTAAAACCGGTGAAAGTTGAAACAAATTGTAGACCTTTTTGGAAAGGTGAAAATTTTTTTCAAAATAAATGTCATCATTGTTGATATTTGTTTTGTTTCTTTAATATTGTCACTAAGAATGGATGGCAGGGAAGTTAGAAAAAGGTTTCGGTTAAGTTTTAAAAGTTCAATTTTTCCACACATACCAAAAGAGGGTGAGACCATGCAGGGCTTTTCAGTTTGACGTCTAAACAAAGAACCTTTTTTTGTTATTCTTAAGACTATAGATGACCCAAACATTATGGGAGATTACATATTGGCACAAAAGCTACTCAGCGATGGTCGTGTTCCACTGACCATGTCTGGAGTGCTTGGGTAAGTTGTAGGTTATTGAACTGAAATACTGTAAAATTTTGATAAAATCCTTTCCTCCCTCCACCCGAAGATAAGCACTCCGAGACCTCCAATATGTCAAACTTGAAATCCAACTCAAAATCCTGGCTCACTACTGGATGAATCTAGACTGCTTACAGTCCAATATTTCCTGTTTGATCCTCGATTTTATTGGTATGCATGCATACAGCTGTAGTTCAAACAGCTGCCATCTTGGTTTTATGTGGTTATCCTCGGGGTGGTGGTCATGTTGCATAGTGTGGGCTGGAGAGGGGGGTTTGGAGTGGTAGATGTCTCTTCACCTGACTCAAAGGTGAGCTTGCTCGCAGGCTACAGGTACTAGGAAGCCGCTCGCACATGTGACTCAAAGGTGAGCCTGCTCGCAGGCTACATGTACTGGGAAAAGCCCTGGAACAAGGTTGACATTTGACAGCCATCTGAGGTACTTACGCCTACAATCTCCAACATAGGGAAAAAAGGGGACAGTCAACAGTCTAATACTGTTGTATGGTCTATAGCATCTCTCATTTAATATGTGCTGTGCTTTAGTTTACATTAGACCAACAGTTAAGTCAGCACATTTATGTGATATGATTACAGTAATTTATGACACCTTAAATAATGTTTTTGTTTCTAGTGATTGTTCCAAAAATAATGCTCCTTGGGATGTTCTAAAGATGGATTATTTGTACAATCTCTCGGATGTCCTCAACTACAAAGATGTAAGTTTCATGTGCATATTAAAATTGTTAGGGACTGCGTTATTAATTAAATAACTTTGATGGTGATTCCGGGGAAAACATCAAGTATTCATGCTACTTTCAATGCAACATAAGCTGGTTGCGTGAGACGCTGACAATCAGCTGGCTAATCTACAGTATGATCCCATATGTGTTCCTCAGCTGCATTTCACTGTTCAGGGATAGAATGGTAATAACATTAGATATTATTACATAAGGATGCCTACCCTGTCGTTAGTTTAATTATTGCTATTAGGATGGTTATTTCGAGCTGCCGCAGTGCAGTAAACCACCTTAAATTGCATGCCTGGGCTATTGTTGTAAATTACATGTCGTCCTCTTGGCTATCCCTCGTTTAGGTTGAGGATGATAGTCTTCATATTGATCAGTGGTGTGTCTGTAGGTAGCAAAGTACATGTAGGAGTATGTGAAGATGGGTCAGTTAATTAAAAGTTGTTTTTGATTTTTTGATATATATATGGAGTCATTTCTGCAATCTGAATTATTCCTTTCTAGCAAATTCCTCCTATAACTGAAGTGTTTGCTGAACTCAACAAAACTGTTGGGGATACTACAGTGTTGTCAGATGAAGCCAAGAAAAGCATAAATGATTCATCAGATGCTGGTGTTCAGGAAATTAACTACACTCAATATAAGGAACAGGTCTGAACATTTAAAAGTTATCTTCATCATAAATGACATTGGGAAGTAAAGATAGACAACAATATTACAGTAATTTTATGTGGCCGTGCTCATGGCCAGGAGGGGGATGGGATGGGGGTACTCCACAGAGCTCTATATGGGAAGGCTCCACCCTGAGGTCCAAGCCCATAACCTTTCCTACACCTTTTGAACAGAAAATGTACCCCTTTCGTTTACCTTTAATTGAAAGAGGTACCCCTTTCACATACTAGAATGTCTTTCATAACTGGAATGTATTGTGAATAAATTGCCAAAAAAAGCCTTCTTGTCATTTTCATGTAGTGCCTATAAAATGAAATGATACAGCCATAAGGTGCATCTTTTTGAAATATTTAATTGAAGGTCCTTTAAAACAACTAAATGACAGATTTCCCTGTAGACCCTTTCATATACCTCAACTTGTGAAATCTCTGACATTTTATATGGTACCCCTTTTGGGCAGAGCTTCCTCTTAGAGGCCATTATGCGGAGTACCCCCCCCCCCCCCCCCCCCCCCCCCCCCCNACGCTCTGATTTACATACCCTATCCTAGAGTAAACTGCTTGAAAACCATACCCTTCACAGCGGCACATACCTATATAGCCCATATATGGCAGTGCCCTCTCCCCCCCCCCCCCCCCCCCCCGTGGACTCTAAGATGAATGGACTTAACAGGAGTGAGATGGATGAACAGATCAAACACCTGACAAAGTTAAGGGCCTCAAATAGAGGACTAGGAAAAAACAAACATTCAAACAGAACTCAGCGAGACTAACAAATTATTATAAATAGGTGGACAGCATGACAGAGGAATGCTAATTTAGATAAACTAATAAATAATCAAACATAACAATTTTCCAATATGAGAATGCAGTTATTAATCAGTTACAGAGGAGCATGATACTGGCAATAAAGCAAGTGTCGCCACCTTAATTTCCTCAGTAATAAGAAAAGTATAGAGACTAACTAGGAGAGGAGAAATGAATATATTCTCGTTTTATTTATCAGGTGAATAAGCCCATCGTTAAAGTTCCTCTGCCGTCATTTGCATCCAACGTCACTAAAGCTGCTAATGCAACGAAAGGTGTCAGCCAGGTACAATAATACAGGGTAACCATAGAAACAGACTGTGTGGGTTATTAGGTTTTGACCTCATCTGGTGTAAATCACAGGCTCAACTTGCAGTACTGTTGTTACTCAAAACAAGATTTCAGTAAAATTGATGACTTTTTTGTTGTACAATGAAATGGTTGTGTTAAGCTTACATTGTAGAAATATTCAGAAAGATATTCAGTCAGTGACACAGGGTAATTGAAAAAAAAAACATGCGAGTTCTCCCGACAGTTCTTCCCTAGACAGCTCAGCACTGTCAATGGCTGCTTTAAGTCTTTCTCGTATAATGGAAATGGAAATGGAGTAGTTCAAATTTTATGCCTGGCATTTTTTTTATTACCATTCAGATACTGTCTACCAAATAACAATCAGAAGTAATAAAACGTGCTTTCAGTACAAGGATAAAGTGTCAAACAATGATTTATGTTTCATGCATAGTCATGTGGCATGCTTAAAAAACGAACAAAAGCAACGGGAAGACAAAAACAATGGTTGAAAGTGATGTCACATGAAACCCTCCAATTTAGCCTTAAATGTAATGGAACTTAATTTTGTTGCTTGACATGTGATCACCTCAGAATGTCGAATTATATTCCACACACCAGATCCCTTGCGTAGAAGTGACAATAAGGGCTTCGAAAATGTTGATGACCCAATTCTTTTGTTTTGTGTTAGGGAGCAGTTAGTGATCAGTTGACGGATACAGCAAACAGGCTTGAACATGTTCATACAACAGTTGTTAAACCAGCTCAGGAACAGGCGGTGAGTTTGTTGCTAGTCATTGTTTATGTGTTGCCCAATACTGACTTTCTCCTTTATTCATTTTCACATCGTGCGTCAATTCTTTGGAATAACCTGCCCCTACACTTAAAAAACAAACTGAATCTAGGCTCTTTTAAATTTGCACTTAAAGAAAATTCTGATTTTTTAGACAAAATTACCTTTAATGGACTATCTGGAACGAATAAAGACACAGTTAATTATGTATACTAAAATTTTATTATAGTTAATTTTTCAGTATAATTACTTTAATTACTTTATTTTCATTCATTCCTCACCTTATTGTAAAGATTTTAGTTTTAGATTTATTGTAAATTGTTATTTAGAATGTAATATACTAATTGTAAGTCCACATCAGCTTTTAGCTGCCAATTTTATCGACCTACTTATTAAATAAAGTATGTATGTATGTATGTATGTAGTCATAAGGACCTTGTTAATACAGATGCATAACCAGATGGTTTAAAGGGAATCTTGGCTAACAAAAAACAGTTTTGTCCCAGATCACAAGCTGGTGTTTGTGTGAAATTGTTTCAGTAATTTGAAGTGGATAATTGTTTGCCTATACGTTGAATGCTGTGCGTTTACTTTCAGGTATTTTAGGATTTAAAATTTCCCGTATGCCGCCATGTTTATTTTTGCAAAGCTTGATGGGAAATTATGTGATTGCGTGGTTGGATGTTTTTAAAATAGAGTGATGTGTGAATCTAGAGATATAAAAGTGCTTTTAATCGTTCATAATTCATATTTCAGATGAATGTGTTCAGTTACAACGAGAAATCTTCGGTAGACTCCATATTGAGATCTCTGACCGCGCAATGACGTCATAAGTTACCGTAAAGTAAACATGGCGATGCCCAGGGGTTTTAAACTGAAAACTAAACACTTCGTATTCGAACCACTTACAGAGTGAGAGATATCACCCGAAAACCCCAGAACCAGTTAAAGAGAACCATTAGGTATACTTTGGAACTAGAAGTGCTTTCAAGATTCCCTTTAAACGTTGCTATTATTTTAGTGGCACCTTAATGGCGAAAGGAATCAGCACCATGGGCAGACATTCATGCAAAAAGCAGTTATAATTATTAGACACTTATATCTACCTACAACAATACAAGAGTTAAGCAGTGTGAGTGACATTTTATAAAATGTACGCTTGTCTAAGTACTACGGAATATCAGCTACTTGTAGTTGTGTAAAAATAACACCCAAATGCAATAAATTTACAGAAGAAGATGATTTGAATTAAATTTTATTATACTGCCTTATTACTACCCACGACACAGGACATCCACCGGCCAAAAGCGACTAAGCTCATAATTAGACATCTGTTTTCTGAATGTTTCAATAGGGGAAAGGCCTTTGAGTTTTTATTTTGGTTGTTACTTTCAGGTTAAGCTGGGGCAGCTTACAAGTAACCTTAAGCAAATAGCAATTGCTATTGAGGTTTGTAGTATCAGCGACAGTTATTCAGCAATCAATTTCAACTGATTAATCAGTTGGTCAATAAATAAATAAATGATAGTGCAGTAGGGCTAAAAGTACAATTGTTGTACTGGAAATACCTGGCTAAACTAATTAACATTGATCATTTTGTTAGTTTTTAAAGTTAGTTTTTACAGTTTCCTCTCTTGAGATGGGAAGAAAATCAAATGTGTACATATTATTACATTAGTTCGGTGAATCCTTTCGTACTGCGCACTCTCGAGAGTTTGTTTGGGTTGTTTGTTTTTTTCATGTAAGACATCACAAAATGTAAACATTTCGTAAATACTCACATGAAGTAAATTCAAAGTTTCAAAACAACCTCCATTACGGATGCGAAGCTTTTTGCTTCGTTCTTTGTCATATCACTTGATGAAACAACTTCGCAGCTGTAAAAATCAATGAAGCTGTCAACTGGAAAAAGGATTTGAAAGGCCTCAAAGATAAGGTAGGTGGTTTGTAACGAATGACATCGATTTGCATTCCATCGTGTGAGAACTTATGATGTTTATAAACATTAGGATGTTGAGACTGCGCAGTACAGACTGGAAATCATCTTTAAGCAGACCCTATATTAGGCAGACATCCTGTATTAAGTGGATAGTGATCCAGTGAGTCCACAACTTTTTCACCAGGGCTGGGTTTTTCAAAAGCTTGTAAACGCTTACCTAGGATTAAAAGCTAACCAAAGTATTAATTTTTCTTTTATAAAACTGTTTGTCACTGGCAATGTCTTGTGTAGTTTGAGATTTTTCAATGCAAAGCTGAAGGAAAACAATATCTTCAACAGAAAACCTCGTAAATCCTGGGTTAGCGTAATCAGTCTTTGAACAACCTGGCCCAGATTTTCTGTACAACCAACCAGTATTAAGCGTACACCTCTGTTAAGCTGACTCTAACAAGCAGGAGTCCCGTGGGTGTCCGCTTAATACAGCATTCGACGTACATATCACATGTCATCCTTAGTTTTGTATTTTTTTCGTAATTTTGTTTCCCTTAATACTGATGATAGTAGTTTCTTTTGGTGTAGGATTCATTTCAAGGAATAATCACAGGTCTGAGTGATGCGGAACATTTTTTGGCAAATGAAGCACTTTCAATTGCTGCGAGGGTTGGTATAACTTTTTCAGAACGTATGTCGTTTAGAATGTAATTTGAAGGTTTTCTGTAAATTTAACCAGAATAATTGAAAATAAAGGAGGAACGAAGCTGGGAGTTATTTGAACGTGATATATGGTTCAGAATATGTGACATGATGGCATGATGGAGTCGCTTAACGAATATCTGTGGTGGAAACTGAGTACATTATTTGGACTTAATTTGTTGCCAGGGAGTTACAAAGCACTGGGACACAGTTTTTGGAGATGTGGATTCGTTGTTGGCCCACGTAATTCATCAGGTGAAACTTAAGTAACAATAGCAACGTAAACATTCAAATGAAATGACTACTTTTACATTCTCATTACTGCGACCTTTGATACTGCAGAGTAATATGCTAATTTTTTCCTGTTTTAGCTTTCGGATATGATGTATTTTGTGATTTAGGGGGTCTCGTGATGTTCTTGTAAGAATCTAAGTTCACTGTAGCACTGATAACTACGAACTCTCCTATATTCCCAAATACAGTTGTATTTAGTGATACCGTTCAGCATGTAAGCATCATTTTCATGGCCTGCACTCTCATCAGTCGTATGCCGTAGGCATATGCGACAATTCTTAGGTTTTGTAAAGGCAGTGTTCTTCCCATTGTGGGAAGGTGTGATACTTTTTACTGGTTGCTACCAATTTTGGTCAATATAAGGGCTTGCAAACTGTTCAACCAGTATCATTACAATGTGGTGCAGGATACTGAAAACAGGAAAAAGAAATGTCATAAATGATATGTTTTGATTGTCAGGTTCGGTTCGATGTGGGACGATGTGAGACCGTGTCTAACATATACCGTGGGCTCACTGGCTCCCTATGTCGTCATTATGCAGCAGGAATGGTATGTTAGGTTTCATGTACAGGAATTTTATGACTGGCCTTAGCCCCTGACTGTTCAGCAAGAACTATCTTGTGACCAGTAATAGCTTTTTGTTCTTGCATGTATGTCAGGGTGGCCTAACATGGTAGTTATTAATTTGACTAATCATTTTTTTTTTTTTTTTTGGCAAGAACAAAACGTGGTACTCGAGCCATTAAACTGACGTTCTTTCCACATTTTGGCGTCTTCTGTGAGCTATTACTGAACAGACGCTGGACAACATGGAATCTATTTGTTTTATATGATAACGAAACAAAAAAAAAAAGTTAGTGGCGTCATCTATACGTCTGCCGTTCAATAGATCATAAGTAAGGACCAATCAAATCGCGAGAATAACTTAACATAATAATATATAATACGTGTTTAGAAAGCTAGTTGCATTGTAATCAGCATCTATAAAATTAGCCTAAAATACTATAGTCTTTTTATCAACCTGGCGGAACCTGGTGACAAAAAGACCAGCTCAGGCAAGTGTCAGTGTTCAAAAACTATCTCCTGCAGGCATTCTAACTTAACCTGATTAGATACGTTTTTAGTAAGATATATGTAGCAGTAACTAAGCTCTGGCCTGGCTCCCTAGGGGCAGACAGGTCAAAAAAGGTAGCCACTAGGGACGAGCCTGTTCATTGGTTATCAAATAACAAGGGATGTTTATTGTTGTCATTTTTCAGAATGCCTCTTGGGTTGCATTTGGACTTTGTGCCCTATTTCTTGTTATTTCTATCATCCTTTGTATGAAGGCTTCCAAACATTTCCGACGGGTCTCATTTAGTGGAGAAAGTGATGAACCAGGTTAGTCCATTGTTTAAACAAACAGACTAACAAATTTACAAACAAACATTACCGCAGGAATTTAGGATTATTTTTTCATCAATCTGAATTAAAAATTAAAATTGAATTAGATATACTCTAAATCTGTATAATCTGGAAAAATTGGCGAGGCTTGTACATGCAGTTACACTGAGTTGTTGCTTTTTATTTCGCAGTGTGTAATAATTGTACATAACTCTGTAACGTGTTTTAATAGTCTTGCACACAACTATGAATCAAAGAAGTAGTTGAACCATGAAATTGTTCTCTCATGTAATCAGTGGTAGTGCTGTGGTGATTTTGATAAGCTATGGTCACAAGTCGGGTAGAATCAAAGTAGCTGATAGCACATTTATTCTTGAGATGAAAATGAGAAAAACAAACATGAATATGATCCTGATGTCGAGACTTGCAATTCCCCCTCATCAGGAAAATCCAATCACAAGGAGCTCATCTTTCTGCCTGGCATTGATTTCCATAGATATGCTTCAGTTAATGTTTTATTTAAACTGTATGTGGTTCGTTTCCATCTAGTTAAATTCAGTTTATCCCTAGTCAATAATTATTATTGACTAGGAATAAACTGGGAAAAATAGAAAAAATTATTATTAGAAGAAAACGATTCACGTATAGTTGAAATCAAAAATTAACTTGTGATCCAAATTTCACTACAACAACATATAGCTTTGGTAGAATCGAACTTGGAGAAAAATTAAGAACCGATCACGCTGTGCGGACCTACGAAACTGTATTGTACGAATTTACGGTCTCTGCATGTCTTAGCTAAAAATATTACCTTGCAAACTAAAATGTCGAGGTGCCCATTGCGGAGGGGAGGGATGGAGGCAGCCCTCTGTTTTGATCGAAGACGAAGCGATCTAACCTGGATGAACACTTTGTTTTTTTCAGGAGAGGAAGAAATGTTAGAATTACCGTGGATGGACGAAGTGCCTGGGCAGAAATGAAAGCAATGTAAATCTTCATTAGCTGTCTAGGACACGATGTCACCTCAACACCGCCAGCGTTAATTTCTGAGTACATGAGAGCCATAGATAAACCATCCCAACAAACAGATCAACGCATTCATGAAGCTCACTTGCCTAGTATTGTACTACGAATTGTTGTAATTACGACTGTCCCCGCTGTTGAATGAGCATACTTCGAATTCAGATATGTCTCATTCTGTTGCGCAGTAAGTGGAAACATGAAGGATTCCGTTAGAATTTTGTTTGTCCATGTAAGAAGTGGACTAAGCTGTGTAGGAATAGACTTGTATGCTTTTTCAAATAGTTAAGTCTATGCTAGGAGACCCAGAGGGCGATAATTGGTACAGAAGAATAGTTTGCGAAAGCCTGTGGTAAACCATCACTCGCACTCACTCGTTTCGTTGATGCTAATGTCTTCTTGATTTGCCTCTGGGTTTCTGCGGTTTCTGCTAGAGGAAAGGAGGTAGATATCCACAAATTATAATGAGTGAGGTGGATAATTGTCAGTACCCTTTCGTAAAGGCCATGTTTCTCAATCGCGTACGTCAGGAGTTAGGGAGACATCATCACAAATTTGATTGTTCTTTTGAATAATTATAGAATATTAGATAACAAATAATCATTAAAATATGACAAAATTCTTCCAAAGCTTTTATAGAAATGGTGGTGGAAGTGAGACGGTTAAGGGGTTTTGTAAAATTAAGATTTCACTTGTGAGTAGAAGTAACTACTACTATTTTTAATTAATTAATGAAATACTTTATTTACACTGCAAAAAATATAGATCAGCTGAATTTTTAAAAAGCCAACACGACATAAAAAAATATATCAAAAACGTTTCTCTCAGTATTTTATTAAACTTTTATCCACTTAGTTGAGAGATCCCATTTACATTCTAACAATTCTGTTTTGTCTTGTTTATTCCTTTAAATTGTATAGGAATCCTCCTACGATGTAACGTGGAATCTTTGTTTACAATATTTTCCTCATTATCATAAGCGATCCAGTTTCTGATCAAGCAACAAAATGTCAGTTCTGAAAATCGAAAGGGCATAGCACGATTCGCTGTTCCAAGAAGTTTGAGTCCACTGTACTGAAAACTTTTTGTGCAACGGGCGTTAGAAACTCAAAATTTTACAAAGAATGTACGAGCTCATTAGCTCTTTTGCCCCTCAGAAATTTTGCAGATTTGAAAGCCAATCTAGCCTTGAATATCACACTTAAAAGCCACGTATTTCACCAAATAAGTGGCTCCCATATCTCATTAAATGTTTGTAGTCAATTCGTATCTACTATGATGTCGTCTCTGCGCCAAGTCGCATGTTAATGAGGAAAAATGTAAACAATGACGTCAGCGACAGTCCGCTTTTGTATCTGTTGTGTAATCAAAAAGAAGAAAAAAAAATCAGTAAACTTGCCAAGAATAGTCACCAGATTTTTAAGAGACAGAAAAGTTGCAACTTGAGAGAACTTGTACAGGAATTTTTTAGTTGTTATGAGCTTTTACTAGAGTTTACGTAACATTGAGTTGTGTTTACGAGATCATTCTTTCTATGGACATGTCGGAAATTGATCAGTTTTACTCAGTCTATCTTGTTCTTAAAGATTAGAAATTTCAATTATGCCTTTTTAAGACAAGGTTAATCAAATAGGTAAACACAAGAATATTTATACACTAAATGTAATGAATCAGTCAAAATGTATTTTCTCTGAACTGTCATTCGAAAATTTAGAGCTGAACATAGATGCTGGCACTTAAATAAATGATATTACAGTAATACGAAGTCAAATTCATTTGTCACTATTTGTGGATTGGACGTATCAGATGACCTCGCGTTGGATTCTGCCTTTCCGTCCCTGTCTTCCTGTGCGTGTTTGTACCATCCTACAGTTCTGTATAGTTTGAATTCGGTGAGGGAATATTTCTTCTCTAAAAGGGTCTGTAACGACTGTGAAAATATTGAGTGGGATTGGGGTGAGTCAAAATTTATCGATTTCCTTTAATTCGTGGTTTAAACAGGCGAGTGTAATTACTTTTAACTGTGAGGAGACTATTAATACGTCGGTTGGCGCGAAAAACAATTGATTATCAACTTGAAGTTGTCCTGTAGATAAATTTGTTTTAAAGGTGGCGCTAATGAGCAAAGCCCGTCGGATTGTGCAGAAGCTCTGTTCGCGAGGGGGTGAGTTTTTATTGGTCAGTATTCAGAAGGTAATCAATACACTGTTCCATTGCAGGAATGCTTCATGATGATCCAGTAGAACGATCTTCGCTGGCTGGGTAAGGACTGGAGCCAAATCACGCGAACCTGGTTGGCATTAACCCGTTAAGTGGAATTTGAACGCATTTCACGCGAAGATGAACGTAATAAACGGAGTGTAAACCCGAAGATACTATGAGGGTGCCAACGGTAAACTCCGTTAAATAAAGTTAGTTGAACTTGGGGCGGGAAAAGTACAAGCAAAGATCCCGGTTGTAGCTACTCCCCATCAAGCATTGAAAAACAAAAGAATTTTGAGCCAACGGCTAGTGTAATGTTCATATAAGAAGTGGTTGTTCTGCATCTGTAGTGTGAGATTGGCAATGTTCCTTTACCGTTTGTCTTAGGATCTAGGCTATGAGATATTGATCATGATTTCCGTACTTACTTACTTTGGCCCTTTGCTCCTCCCGGAGCATAGGCCACCAATAACAACTCTCCAGTCTCCTCTGTCCTGAGCTATCCTTTCAAGTTGCTTCCATATGTGTCCAGTCCTTTTAATGTCCTTTTCAAGCTTCCGCCGCCAGATGTTCCGTGGTCTCCCTCTCTTTCTTTGACCTTGGGGGTTCCAGTTCAGGGCTTGACGGCCAATGCTGCTAGGTGGTTTGCGTAGCGTATGGCCAAGCCAGCTCCATTAGCTACCTGGGCTGTCTTCCCTGACTCAAACATTGTTCTGATGTTCCAAGTTCCGATGTTTAAGGTTTTTCTGGTCAACAGAAGGGTAGTCAGCGTTGTAGGTTCCTTTCGGTTTTCCCTGCAACTCGTCATGCACCTTCGCGAGGAAAGCCCTTCTTCTCCCAGAACTTGTGGAGTTTGTCGATTCATCATTGGTGTTTCTGTAGCAGCATAGCCTTTACGGGGTAGGGGTGCTAACCCTACGCCCAACCTTCCTCCTTTCTCAGCCGGGCTTAGGACTGTCCATGGCAGAGTTATGATTTCCTTACCATTGGCCAAACTCCCAGTTTCCAGTCTGTTAGCAACCGAAAGCTAAGTTGAATGGTAAGCTTAGTTGGTTAAGTAGCACCTGGAAAACCGGTCTTACGTCATATATTCGACGGTCATGATCGATGGCTTTTTCTGTCACATATGAACCCTCAGTTAAATGACCTTGCTCTCCATGAGTTCTCGTAGCTCAGTGGACAGAGCGCCCGCCCGGTGTTTGGGAGGTCATGGGTTCGATTCCTAGCTGTCGGGGACGCTCGTGTCATGTTGATCAGTTCACTTTTCACATAGAGTAAACAGCCAGGCGTATCGCTTGTTTGCTTTCATTGGTGCATTTCGATTCACATTACCAGTTATTCCGACTATTACAGGTAATTTCAGCTCGAGTTTAATTTTAAATTCTTTAGCAGGCTTGTACTCTTGCCGGAAAGAAGTTAATTGCTGTGGAGCGAGCGTAGCGAGCGAGCAGCAACATAATCAGGATTTAAGAAGAATATATAGAAGGGGGTGCGAATTCTCAAATTCATCACTTTTTACCAGAATGCATTGCATCTAACCAGAGTGCACCACGTTTTACCAGAGTGCACTGGGCCACGAACAACATGAGGACGTCGAGGCGTCCCCTTTTTCGCGTGGATTCCAGTGAGAAAGATTAGTGGTTATCTTTTGGTCTGATTTACCTGTGAAGGAGATCGTGCTTGACTTTCACAACTCTTGCTTTTGTTCTTAATGCAATATGTGAAAGTTTGTAAATCTGGACGATTATAGACCAATTTCGATATATTAAAATTCAGCCTAAAACGTAGACCTCAGTACGAGGCTCTGGGAAATAACTACAGAATTTGTGCGGTTTATTCCCCAGAGTCTCGGGCGGATGTCTATTGTTTTAGGCTGAATTTTTTTAATACATCGAAATTGGTCTATTGTGGCATCTTAATTTTAAACTTAGTATGTCATTTCTTTGCGCGCAGTCTCGCCTACTTGGTCGACTTCTTAAATACTAACAGAGAAATCGTCGTTACTAAAGCTTGTAGAATAATTGAAACAAACGAAAACCGTAGAACACGTTAATTTCATACACGCAATCGATCAATTCCTTTTCATCCAAACATGAATTTTAGCTTCACACATTGCGATGGACGCAACATTTTTGTCAACATTCCAGAGATGTTTAATGCGTATCAGTACAGAATTAATAAGTTAGATTTCTGCTCCTACAATTTCCACATCTTTCGATTTTCGCGATCTTGTAAAGGGGAGGTTGATGTGTGTTGCTTTATGTCCAAACATAGTTCACTATATGCTTTTTCTGTCACGATCCCTTAATTATTGTCGCACCTCGCCATCGATGCGTCATCATGCATGAAGTTGTAGATGAATCTCTGCATAAAATATGTCACTGTCAACAGAATGTGCTGCAGCATTACTATCTTTTATATACATTAGTTACAATTGTGCATAATGATGGAATGCCTTCTGTTCATAACTCTTGTATTAAACGAACCCTTTCTTTAGTCGATGTTTTTAGGAAAGAAAATCGCGAGTGGTCTTGAGTCAGAACTTGACTGTACTTTGATGATCACTGCATATTTTCTGCCATTCTTTTTTCTCATGAACCTCAATGCGCTGGGGATTACAAAAGAATTTTTTGATCAATGGTTTTCGGTTACGTTCATGTAAAAAGTGCTTTTGTTTTCTCGGCTGATTACATTTACATACCGCGCCATCGCATTATGGAATGAAATGAGGACCTCATTGCGACGAGAAGACCAGTTTTGATATCGTGGAAGTTTTAATGCTAAAAATAGGCGGAATCAACGGTGCGGTGTCCAAACTAAAGAATACTCTACAGTCATTAGCCTGAAATGCTAGTCATCTCCCGTCTCATGTCTCCCGCCCTCATACGTACCCCCGCCACAGGGCGTGAGATGATTGACATTTCAGGCTGCCTTCGTACAGAATACCGGTTGTTGTGTGTTTTATAAAAATACTAGTAATGAAAAATGGGACAAAAGAAAGGCATGATTCAGTTATTTTTTCAAAGGAAACAATAGACTCCCGAAAGCGTCGAAGAAATGATATGTCCGCTGTGTTATGCAAATATCCTGCCCTCATGATTTGCAACCTGAAAACCATGTTATCGCTGCTCTTCTTGTTCACTGAGTCAAAGTCAACGGTTACTTTGCTCCTTGATGAAAATATTAAGCTTAAACCAGGAGCTGAAATATCGAGAAGGATCGAGAAAAACGTGCATCGGAAGAAATCTGGCATGGCGCGCTTTTTATCTAAACAATAGATAATCTCTAGTGTATTAGCGTGGTATTTTATAGCATTCCTTGAAAAGAAGCATGCTAAAGCCATTTGAGGCGCAGTTGCTCACTGCTTGCAATGAAGGTGGGTCGATTTTGAACTGTCGAGAGTTTTGGCTCGCCAATATAATCCGTTGAAATTTGAGGTAAGCTAAAGTTGATTAGGTTGGAAAACGTTGCGTCTCTGTTGGTATCTTACATGCCAAGTTGCGAATGTTTTTGAGCTAATTAGTCGTGCACAACCGAATATTTTAGCTCTTTGACGAAGCTGTGTGGTAGGTAGAATGAAAGCCTTCGATCGATACAGCAAGAGCCCATCATAGGACTGTTTTTTTCGGTTCTTATTTCACGGGGCGAGAAAAGAAACTGACGGTTTTTTCTCGTCACGTAAAGCCGGCAAGAGCAGAAGAAAATGCTCTCGCGGGCTAATTGTAACGGTAGCTTCAACAACAATATATACTAGTCGAGGAGCAGCATTCTCCTCTCCTGTCTTCCAGCTCCGGTTCATGTTCTTACGCTGAACAAGAGAACGTTTCAGGTTATGCCAAGAAATGGTGATCTTTAAAATAATCTCAGGTCACTGTGATATAAGATTTTTTGCATGGCGCTGGATGTGAGATTGAATCCCGCCATTAATGCAAATGCCGCCCTGCGATCGACGCGTAATCTTCTCGTCGATTCTCGAGCTGTACTTCATTATTCACTACGTGTTATTTGATGTTTTCTTTTCACTGAATTTAAAACTGTGGTCTTTCCTAGGTGTCTTTCGTCCACGAGTACCCCACCAGTAGTCCATTTCCTGGAAAAGAGAAGTGACTGTGAAGCACACTTGGTCTGGAAAGCTTAGAGTACAGTTTACTGTCCGGCGTGGTTTTGACGCTCATTCTGGAAAAAAAGGCCGTGGAAAGAGTATTGTTCAGTAAGTAGACGATTTGCGATTAAGTTTTGCTCTTTCTGCACATCAAAACGGCCGTGATAAACAAAAAGCTCGTTTCACAGGAAATATCTTTAGGATTCATGCAATCGTAGGAGTGCTCGATACAAATATATGTAGAGCGATTATGGAATCAAAGTTCGCAAGTCAGGTTCATAAATAATTTTTGAACTGAAGTGATTAGGGAATCGATAATCATCAGCTAGAATGATTATTTATTCATCTACTTATTTGTTACATTCGTAACTTTACTCCAAATTACCTTCAAAAATTAGTGATTAAAATACAGAAACAGGAGATAGAGGTGACTAAAAGCATCGCGCGCTATACTATTTTGATCTTCTGTGCTAGTTTCTAATTCCAGCCACGAAAAGACAACTAAAATTGCGCTTAAAACCTATTTATATTTTTAAAAGCGAACAACATCTACTATTGACGCTTCTGTTTTTCCTCGAGATACTTTTCTCAGGATTCTCGAGGTGGGGGTGGGGGGAGGGGGGAATAGAGAGAACCTGCCATCCATCCCTACGTACTAATTTTGCCATGAACACCCGCTGTGCAATCAACCTTGTTCCCAGGGTCTTTCCCTCGACGATTTTCAAAATGGCGGACTTTCCCGCCATTTTGAAAAGTGTAAGGGTTGGACTTGCTGTAGACGAGATCTGTCAATGTAATTTCAAGGAAAATCGCTTTATTTTTTTAATACTTGGCGAAGGCCGTCTGAAAATTTAAAGGTAAGAAAGCTTTGAAAGGAAACTGGGAAATTTTCTGTACAAAATCAAGAAGTTAACAGCGATTACAAACAGTGGCCGGGAATGGGTAGACTTGCCACAAGTCGACCTAGCGACCGTCGACGTTTAAGTTCGCGAAGAAATGTAAGGTTAACTGTATGAAGTGTTTTGAGCCCCCAGAGTTTTGAATTAGCACAGTTATTGTTGACGATGCTATGAATTTAAGCTTAGCATATTGAATAATTGTATTTTACAAAATCATATGTAAGTTATCTGGCTCTCAACTTGGCATTTTTCATAGGCGACCAATAATTAACAATTAGACCTGTAACCCGCAAGGGCTACGGGTCAATAGCCCATGAGGCGAAGCCGAATGAGCTTTTGACCCGTGGCCCTTGTGGGCGAAGGGTCTAATTGTTTCAGTATCACCCAACTAGTCAGACAGAAAAGGCAATAATTAGCAAATGCAAGTTGAAGAAATATTTATTTGGGAGTAAAACAAAAGAAAGCGTCATGCTTGATTGGCCAATTTCGCCACTAGAGGACTATTAGTAAGAGTCCTTGAGTAACGTAGCCAATTAAAATGCAGGATTTGCAATAGTCCACTAATTGGGTGATACTAATTGACAATTAGGTCATGAGCTCAAGATTTCAATGAGGTGTTAGTTGATGAGGCCAAACTGTTTTAGTGGAATTCTAACTGAAATTTCCTTCAAATAACAATTCCAAATATTCTTGGTCTTAAACCCCAGCCAAATGATCGCAACATTTCAGCACAACATATCCCAACATTGTTGGCCAAGCATTTCAAGCTCCGACCAAATGATTACAACATTTGAATGCAACTGTCACAACATATCACAACATTGGGAGCAACATGTTGTGCTTGTTTGGCCACCCTGTTGCAATGTGCTGGGACATATTGGGTATTGAAAATCGCACTAGTGCGCATGTGGGGGCACAACATTGTTGCACAAGCCTGGCCAAACAACTACAACATCATGCAACATCCACAAATGCTGCATGAAAAATTTGACCATTTTATATTTGAGCTAACAACACCCAATATGTTACAACATGTCCCAGCATGTTGCAATAGGGTGGCCAAATGCGTGCAACATGTTGCGCCCAAGAATGTTGCGATATGTTGCATTGACATGTTGCGATTGTTTGGCTGGGGCTTTAGTATTAAACTTCATGCTTTAGAGAAATTGCGTGGACTGAATTAATTATCAATTTGACATTTCCAGTTGTGTAGTGCACTTATAATCAGTTTGTTAAAAGAATTGTGAGCTTTTTTAACTCAAGAAACCATAAATGCCCTCCTTTTAGTCTTCTCTCAGGAATTTTGTTTATTCATTTGTGTCTAAATGTTATGAGAAGATGTTGCAATTTTGCTGACCACACCAAACCACTGCACACTAACTAAACAATAGAGTGTTTCTGTCGAGGAACTATTGACTGATAGTTACCCAATAGAAATTTGATGTTTTTAAAACAGACATTTGCCTGAGAAGCAAAGCTTCAAGGGCAAATATGGTAGTTTTAAGAACATCAAATTTCCAAAGGGCAACTATCAGGCCGATAGTTCCGAGACATAAACACTCCATTGTCTTTATTGTTCACCACTAAATTTTCTTCCATGTGTCAGTTCAGAACTCATATTGAATTATTTTCAACCTTTTTTAGATGAAAGCTGTGAAAGCCAAATGTAAAATTTGAAAAAGGAAACGGAACAAAACTCAGTTAACACAATTTCAGTTGTTTATTTTTTAGAAGCCCCCTTTTTTAAAGAAACAATTTCACGGACAAGCACTATCCATCCAGGTATTTTCCTTGGACGGGCACTATCAGCTGATCGTGACTCTCGGCGGATGAACACTATACTGGGTCACGTGATCAATTTAAACCAATAAGAATCGGAGAAAATTTATTAGCGAGCTATAATGGCTGATAGTGTGCAATGGCTCAGCCAATCAGATTACAGCATTTGCTTAAGTATACTTGAACACTAAAGCAAATGCTACAATCTGATTGGCTGAGTGATCACACACTATCAGCTACTCTGATTCTTATTGGGTTAAATTGATCATATGATGCAATGTGTAGTTCCGGAAAATATCCATACTTTCCTCATGAAAGGGATAAATTTCTAAGACCCCCCACATCTTTGGAAATTCCAATTAAGCATCATTTATTCCTTTTAATGTTTTGATCATAGAGAACCCTGCAAAGCCTGCAAAGTCAAGGAAGCCATCCAAGATCAAAGCTCAATACCATGCCAGTTATTGGTTTCATTTATTTCTTTTTGCAAAATGCACAATGAAAATTTAAACGTTGTGTTTTGCACTAAGAAATAGCTTGATATTGATAAAGAACATGGTAGTGTTTTCACCCTTGATGTAGTGGCATTTTGAACAGGAAAAGAAATCAAGTGAGTATGTATTTGGAACCACAATGATTCATGACGCAAGTTTCAGGTTATTTTGAAACAAAGGAAAATACCAAATTATACCAAGAGTAATATTTGTCTTTACTTTTAAGGCTAAGAATACAATTATTTTGTACAGCTATTTGTTAAACTTAGACCAAGAGTAAACAGCTGATGCTAAACATGCTTTTTTGTGCATCACAGAGTGTAAGGTATGCATGAAAAGGTAAATGTAGCTTTCATAATTTTGAAGAAGGGAACAAGTGCAAAACCTTGAAGAAACTGCTTGTTATTGGGTGCTCACTATACATCAAGGATAAAATTAATGTGCCAATATCTGTGTAGCATGTAACATGCATACACTTTGTGAATCCACCATCTGCGTAAGATAAGTGTGCAAAGGACAGCATGCATTATCATCAAATTTGAACTTTGTGTCCTTTTTGTTGATAAATATTAAGTAGATATAACTCTGAACAGTTTTTTATGTAATTTAAACAATATTGTTCCTTGCTGTTTGTTTTAAGAGCATTGAACATGTACTCAACAAGAGAGCTTGAACAGTTCTGCTGTGATTTTTTACTTATAAACAGGTGAAAATGGGATAATAATAATAATAATAATAATAATAATAACGATAATGATAATAATGACTATTTTAAGAGGATGGCCCATCAGTGTATTAAACACTGTTATCAAAGGCGTCCTGTGAAAGAAACTATAGTGAAAATAAGGAAAAAGGTGAAAGAAGGTAAAAAAAGGTAAAAAAGGCATACAAAATTAATAACTAAGCAGCACCAAACAGTTTTGTGATTAAGCAGGGTCCTAAATTACCTTTTGTACTGGATTGCCCATTGGACTACAAGTTTTTCAGGTCTAGGTGTCGAAAGTGAAATCTAGTCATCAAATTATTAATAAAAGTACATGCATAGGTACATACATACATCCCCACATTCATACATATAATTTATTTCCTCTCAAATTTTAAGTAGCTAAAATTAACTAATATCTGCGAGAATATAACTATAACAAAATACAATACTTACTCAACAAATATGCTAAAAATAATGAAAGAGCTGAACTATGTATATAAAGTATAAAACTAGAGACAAGTTGCCATGCTACTGAAAAGACTCATTGTGATATCTTTCACTTAAAGTCCGCAAAAATACAAGTTCTTAGTGAGTAATATGCCAGAACTTGGCATCCCAACTGTCTTTCTTTGTGATGGCTTGTTTATCACTGCTGCAATAGGTTAATCCAAATTCAATACTCATGGATAACATAAGGTTACAAAATTGACAGAACGCAGAGAAAGGCCTCTTAGCTTGTACAATATATGTTATCTTGAAGAGCTTTGAAGTTTTCTCAATGCCTAATCCTCTTCCATGTGAAGGATACAAGATTCCAGTGGTTGTTCAGGACTCTTGTTTTTGAGTCCAAACAAGATTTTGCTGGGCAGCTGACTTGTGTGCTGCACTTTTTTCATGCTTAAGTTTTTTTTTCAAGTTGAGCTGTTGTACAGCCCTTGTTTGAAGCCAAAGCACTGTGCTCTTCTTGGTCTCCTGCAGTATTATAATCTATGCAATATGAGGTAGTCAAGCGAGACTTTGTGTCTTAGGTGAATTGGAAAGGCTTAACTAGCTGAAAGAAAATGAATTCTTTGATAGTGTTATTATCATATCTGCTTGAGGAGTGAGAGGGCCATCAGGTATTTTGAATTTCTTTTCCAGCTGCAACCAATGTTGACTACACTACTTTTCTGTTAAGCTTCTGTCTGACCTCGTTCTATAGAAAAGTATTTCAACGTTTAACACCATTTAAATCTGCTTGATATTTATCCTTTAAAAGACATTTGTTTTGTCAACTTTTGCTATAGATTCTGACCATTTATGAGTTTTAATGGCTGGCTTATATATTAAATTATGATGGCAACCTTTACTTTGCAATGCATACAATCATGCAATACCTTGTGATCTTTGGAAAGTACAGAAAGTTTTATGTTTTGCCTGCATTCACTCTAAATGTGTGCAGGCCCTGTGTACATTGCAAGGTGCAAAAGAGATCATGGTACCACTGAGAGTGCCACCAGTAAAATGTAGCACTAAAACATGTAAACAAAGTTGATCCATTCAAAATTTGTTCATAACAGCTACCAAAAGTTTCGACCTTGTCAACTTAAACAGAGCAAATGTTGTTAAAACCCCTGGGTTGAAACCTTAGCTAAGCTGATCAGAAGAGAGCAGATCAACAAAGTTAATGTAACTGGTTTATGACAGAGTGACAGAGATATTTCCTTATGAGAGCAATTCAGAAGGTATTGTTAATGAGTATCAACCCCACCGTCAATATACTGCCCATAGGGAAAAATCTATTTACCTAATAGGTAATTTGTTTAGGTCCAAATCCAAGTCAAAGGGAGCTTTTGTTATATATTGAAACAAACTGCCTTAATATTAATATAGTGTACATGTATATTTATATAAACACAAGATATTCCAAAATATACAGTCATGTGAAATAATGTCAAAGATAGAGAAAGTGCAATTTAAGATGCTTGCAAATGTTACTATTAAAATAAAAACAATTACATCCAGGGGCAAATGCTGAGATGCAAACAAACAGTTGACAATTTAGACTGTGATGGTTTTCATTTAGATTAAAATTAATTAAAGTGCAAGCTGGTTTTTCTCTATATTTAAAGGAAATGCCAGATGGTGAGATATGACATCAAAGTGTATTGGCCATGACCTGTGGTGTTAAAAGGAGAGAATTTTGACTATTGTACAATATGTACAATAAAATAGAAAATACTGCTGTAAACCACTGGCAAAGATTATGTAAGACACCTAAAATGATGGGAAGTGGAAACCGTAGAAGAGTGGAAAGGTGTTTTCGCGAGGGACAGCCAAACATTGTTCAACCAAGGGCAAAAAAAAAAAACTGAATGGTGGAAAAAAGAACTTGATGTGATAGTGTTGCAATCATGTGCACTGTAAGGTCATCCTTTTCAACAACCCCCTTTTTTGAGTTTTTCCGGTAAACTTGAATATTGATTCGAACAATGTTTTAGTTTATTTTATCTTAATCTGGCTGGCATGGAACTTCACCATGGAACTTTTCTTTGGAGACGGGCTTCTTTGTTCTTCTTCTGATAATGTCGCATGCTATGCTCATAAGTTCTTGGTGTGGCAGCCATTGTGCAACACCAAGAAACATGTGATACAAAGATTTTCCTGGTATGGTTTCTCTGTTTTAGGGTTATGATCTAGCCATTGATTTCATAGTTGTCATGATACCGTCATTTTTCATTCAGTAGATCATATTTGTTGTGCTTCTTACCAAAAAAAATCCATCTTGCAGCAGTTACAAAGGGAAAACTAACCATTGATTTATCTGTTTTTACTGTTGTAATCAATACATGGTCACTTTCCATGGCTGTCATCAAGGGCCGTAACCTGTAACACCTATTATGGCTCAGTATGTTTGAGTTTCTCTTGGTGCTATGGGTGAAATTGCTTTTTGTTGAAAGAAATCACCTACAATGTAACAAGTTTGCTACGGGTGTGAAGAACAAGGGTACCGGCAACTCAAAACTTAATGACATCCCTGCTTTCATCTGGTGGTTGTGGAACAACTATTATTACTGCTTGAGTTTTCAAATCAATGTTTGAAATCATGGTAATTGAACATCCATAACAAAACGGTGCAAAAAGGGGTGATTTGACTGTTTATTTTAAATAATAGTCAGTACTTGTAAAAATGACAAGAATGATTTTGTTCCCAAGAAAAGAACTATCAGCACTGGGTATTTGTAATCAGTCATAACTGAGAAAGAAAACTGCTGATTTGAACTGGTATCGCTGTTGTATTAATAAATATATTCATAAGGCAGTAGCCATCCAAATGTTTTGAAGGACCTAGGCAATAATAAGGTACCTTGTCAATATTATGGTTAATGGGTATTCTAATGCTTCTGGTATTAGTTATGGCTGAATGGCAAGAAAGAGGTCACAATCGCCAAGCTGAAAAACTGGAAAGGTCAAAGTTTTTGTTTGCTCACTGTGAAGGGTGGGTTTATTTGTTATGTCAATAGGTGTTGCTAGGACTGATGAGAGTGGGCTATGTGGATGATGGTATATTCTGGTTGACCCATGACAGTAATGCAATCTCAAACAAATAATATGAAAAAAAATTATGATAAAAATATAACGAAAATCAAAGGAGATTGTGGTGCAAAATGAGTTGTTGTGATTGTGGTGCAAGTGGGTTTGTTATGCAAATAGGTGTTGCTTGAACTGATGAGAGTGGGCTATGTGGATGATGTTATATGCTGGTTGATGAATGACAGTAATGCAATCTCAAAGAAGATAAACAAATAAAATGAAAAAAAAAAATAATGATAATAAAATAAAAAGAAAATCAAAGGAGATTGTGGTGCAAATGAGCAAAGGTGCAAAGGTATGGTATCCATTCATTGGGTCTAAAATGATGGGCCCTGGAGACATATACATGGAATTGCTATTGTGATTTTGAGCTTAGAGTCCAATAAGGGAGAAACACTACCTTCCTTCTGCAGGACAGATTTTTTTCACATCAGTCAAGGAAGAATGAACTGCTTGGATATAAACTCTGCTGTTTGTTTGCTTTAAGAGGCTTCCATTGGCTTTAGTGGGATGCTTGCATCCTACCAGTTCAATGTGTTTTACCCTTCTTGAAATAAGTTTGTTAAAAACATTCTTTCCAGTGGCATAGAAGAGTAGACTTCCATTTCGTAAAGCAAATTTAAGAATTAAGTTGCAAGTACACTATCAAGCGCTGAGCTTACAACATGAAAGAGCTCCTTTATAAGCTGGTCTTGCTTTGGGACTTTTGAGGAGTCTTAGCTCCCTAAAACACTGGCACATTGTCTGAAGTATTTGTTTAGGTGTACTTGTAATGGGCAAGTTGGGTTGGTTATTTCTGGCTTATTGGGAACAGCATTAACTTAACTGTTGCTGGGTAGAGCAAGATCTCTGTTGACCTCAGGCATCACTCTTGTGATATCAAGCATAGAGGCATTGACCATCAAAGAGTAAAAGAGACCTTTAACTGAGAAAAATGACAAATGATGATCATGTATCATTTATAGAAATATATACACATACAATAGCCTGTGTTGCAGCTGGACTCAAAATCTAAATAATTTTTATGCCCATTATTAACAACTTGTTGCTATCAGGCAAGCTATGTGTAACATATTTCATGTGTATTAATTTGTTCGTTTGAACCTTAATGTACTTTCATAATTGGTTATATTATTTGGTGCAATAGCCATAATTTCTGGGACCAGCTGAAGCAAGTTGACGATATGGTCGCCCTGTTTTAATTTGCTGGTGAATTCACTCGGGTAATCACCAAGAGGTAGAGTGGGTGACCTTCAAGCTGGGAAAAGATGATGGAATCCGCATCGAAGTGTAAAACTTCTTGAGGTTTTAGCTGACTCAGTCCTTCATGGTACAATTTCAGACATGCCCAACATCCCACAGTCTTCTTGTAAATCTAATATTTCCTCCACACACTTTGCTAGTTTTTTTCTTTCCTTTGGCATTTGAGTTCTTCTTAGTTTTTCTCCCGATATCTCTTTTTTGAGGCCAGGACCTTTTCTCTCGCTCATTTGTGTCTTATTCTTGCTCTTTCTCTGTTCTTTTGTTCCCTTTCCGTTCTTTTACTTTATATTGACGAAATATTTGTTCTTTAATTTGCAATAGTTCTTCAAGGTCCACCACACAACATTTCAGCTGTACAATTTCAAATGTATTGTCCATGCTTTGGTTTCAAGTCAATGTTTGATCATACTTTTATACAGTATAATGCGAATACGATATGTTTGCCAATGTTTAATATTCTTAAAAGTGTGAGCAGTTTTTGTGCCAGTTTTTTTTTTGTTTCATTTTCTTTGTGAGGAACTGCGGACATCAAATTCCTTGAAAGTTACTGCTTGTGGAGGACCGGTAGATCCTTCTTTTGGAAAAAAAAGAATCTCTTGACATATTCTCATTTTTGCTAACAAGAAAAAATTAAAAATTGAATTAGAGAAAATTTGAGTTGAACTTGAAGTAAGTATTGCTCAGCTTGGGCAGGAAAACATTTGGACTTTATTGAAGTTTGAGCAAAGAACACATATACATAGTCTTTGACTTCATTTTAGATTTTGTTCTTTTATTTTTATTCCTTTGTTTTTATATACCCATCCCACAATATGGTTGTCAGTTGTCTTCCTAGTGATACTGTTTTTAAATAACCATCTGAACCATCGCGACTCTGACCCATCCATTCTCCATTGCCATGCCTCCATAAGGTCATTTCTACCAGAAATGTCTTATTCTAGACATAAACTCTTCGAAGAACTCTTTTGGCGGACTTGGTGATGGAGTTTCTTCTTGCAGTATCTCCTAGCTTAACAAAGGAAAGAGGTCCTCACCTACCAAATCTGCCTTGTACATACCTCTCCCGTTTCTGTCAAGTGTTTTCTGCATTGAGGACAAGTTATTGGATTGTTTTGCTCATGGCATGTACTGACCCATGTAGAAAAACAGTTACTGTTGCTTGGTTTGCCATAGGCCTTCAGTAAACTGCTCTCTTTCACTTTACCTTGGACTTCAATCAATCAATCAATCAATCAAAGTCATTGCATGGGGTTGGGGTTGCCCTTACTATCTGAGCCTGAGGCTCATGTATAAAACCCATGACTAAAATTAGAGATAAAATTAAATCAGTAATAATAAGAATTGACAAAAAGAAAAAAAAGATACATACATGGAATTGCTTTTTGTTTGGCATGATGTAGACTCAATAATATCCTTGCTAATTGACTGGTGGATAGAGAACGTTCAGGGTATTTCAAGGTATCTCTTTGTGATATTTATGAAGATAGTCAGGATGATTTATACGTAACCAAAACCTAGAAATTCCAAATGTGAAATTGCCTCTTTCTGCGTAGGGTAACTCTTTTTGGAATATCTCAATAGGATCAATCCATTCTTCAGTAGGACAATTCAAAAACTCAAAACACGAGTCTGGTTCATTGATGACCGAACAATAAATATCCAGACAAATATCTTGTACTAAATGGATACGTATCATAAGTTTACAGCAGAGAGGAAGACAAGAAAAGACTCTCATTGTTGGAATCAAAATAATCTTTATTAATTACACAACAACATTTACAACGGCAGTGAAAGTCTGCTTACAAGAAATTATGAGCATAAACCTCCATGTAGAGGCTGTTTGCTTTACTATACCTATTTGAAATCATTGAAATCCCTCCTCTTAAACCTTCTTCAATTAACAAGTACATGTCAGGGTCCGTAAGCAATTGAAGCTCTGCCCGAGACATTTTAAGACAAGCTTGCCACCTTAATTCAGGCGAAGTGTAAAAGTGAGCTGGGTCAAGCTGGTAGTAGCTTAAGCATGTATCACAAAAATTTTGAAACACATTAGCTAACAGTAACACATCTGATATGAGGTACAGATTGTGGTAGTCTCCTAACGATTTATTTCCAAACTCGACAAACACGTATTAAGAAAAGCGGGCCCATTTTGCTAACAAGAGGCTTTGTTAAGCAATCCAACATTAAGCTAATATGGCCATTTTTGCACAATAAGAGCAGCAGCTTTAGTATACTAAAGGGACTTTCAAAATTTCCCGAGCAGGAAATTTGAACAATCGTCAAAAGCGAAGTAACAACAAATTCTCCCCAAGGGAGGTAGTATGGGTACAATTTGTTGTGTGCAAATTGTTATGCTAGGGCGGCTGGTAGGGGTTACAGGCTCCTTGGGTTCTGCTAACATGAGATGCATTTCTTTTGACAACTCTTCATCTATCTCAGTGTCAGAGGAGTATTAAGACACCGTTCACTTTCTGGGACATTGCCGAGATGATGGTGAGGGTAGCGCTGGTGGTGGAGGTAATGGTGGCAGTGGTGGAGGAGATGGCAGTGGTGGTGGTCTCCTAAAATCTGTTAGCATAACACGAACTCCAAACAAATCGTGAAGAATTTCATTAGAATCATATTCATCGTCTTTTTCTTTCCTCTGTTGTGTTCTAGGTACTCGTGGCCCAACTTGTGCGCTCATAATAACGTTTTTAGGCCCTCACTAGCTCTGGATTGTTGTTTCTCCATCGCCTCAACATGTCCTGTTTCTTGTCATTGTTTAGTGCATAATATCGTTTGTTTGCTCATGAACTTTAGCTGGATTTTTGTTTTTCCACTCTCTCACATGCTCTCTTGTCCTCTCTCTCTTTCGTTTCAATGCTGCTGCGGAAGTAGCAGGCATGGTCTCAAAAACTTCAACAGTTAAAAAGGTATAAAAAGGCGTTCTACACACTTACAAAGATGAAGAGTGACACGATGTGTAACACTTGACTCTTATATGACACCGTTTAACTCTAAGCAAGAAACTTGGAAATGCTGAATTTGCATGAAAAATTAGCACCNTTTTGAATCTCACTTAATTCCAATGTATTCAGTCTCATATCTAGAAACTCCAGAGAATCATTGAACCAAATTCACAATGTGTGTTTTGAGAAACTGGTATAATAGTATACATGAATGTTTCCAGACCAAAAAAACAAATATTAAATAATTGCAATTTATTATATACAACTTATGTTTTGTGCTCAGTATAAAGTATTGTTTACCTGTAATGTTACATGTACAAGTTAGTCCTGTTATTCTATTATAAATAGGATGGCATAACCCATCAGCAAGAAAAAGGAGGCAAACAAATAATGAGTCACTTTCTTTTGTGGTAAGTGTGTAGTACAATGCAAGTCCCATATAGTGACATGACATGTGCACTGTACTGTATTGTTCATGTGGCATTATTTTTATAGCAGAGCTCCGGTGGCCCAAAGGGCCACCAAGCGGAGCCCCATACTCACATAGGAAAGAAAAGGAAACTCTTGAATTGATTTTCTCATGGTGATCATGGCTAGCGGTATTGCTCATGGGTACGTACGCACGACTATGATGGCAACGACGACAACGACGGAGTCGTGCAACATGGTAGCCATACTCTATCTAATTGAGACCTGCAGCCTTAATTGGTTTACAGTACAGTGAACCTCAATTTAATGAAGTCACTGGGGACCGGCCAAATTTGTTCGTTAAATAGAGGGTTCGTTATATCAAAAACCTCGATATAATGAATTTGAGGGGAAACAACCAAAACGTTCGTTATATCGAGGTCATAGTTAATGACTGATTTGTAACACAGGTGACTTCTGTCACACAATCCAATGCAATTTTCGCCACCCAGAAGTGCCGGGTTTTGAGATGCGGTTCATTAAACATGGTGGCTTTCAGTATCAATTATTTTCACTTTTGAGCAGACACGCAGCTTTTGTTTACAA